AAGAGTGACTCAGTTATACACATTACATTATAGACGTTCTTTTTTTATATTCTTTTCCATATGGTTTATCACAGGATATTGAATATAGTTCCTTGTGCTGTACAGTAGGACCTTGTTGTTGATCCATTCTACATGTAATAGTTTGCATCTACTAACCCCAAACTCCCAGTCCATCCCTCCCTCTCCCCCTTGGCAACCACAAGTCTGTTCTCTATGTCTATGAGTCTGTTTTGTAGATAGGTCTTTGTAGTGGCTTAATGTTTGAAATTACTTTGTGGCTTTTTTTGGTAAATATTGAAATGTAGCAATAATGTCTTTTGAATATTACCAAGCCCATGAGTCCTTGAAAATATTTTTTATATATACAGTAACTTTATGTGTAAGTATGGAAGCACTGCAAGTTTATTAGAATCCATATTTTAGATTCCACTTATAAGTGATATCATATGGTATTTTTCTTTCTCTTTCTGACTTACTTAATATGATAATCTCTAGTTGCATCCACATTGCTACAAATGGCATTATTTCATTCTTTTTTATGGCTGAGTAGTATTCTGTTGTATACCACATCTTCTTTATCCATTCATCTGTTAATGGATATTTAGGCTGCTTCCATCTTTTGGCTATTGTGAATAGTGCTGCTATGAACATAGGGGTGCATGTATCTTTTTGAGTTATAGTTTTGTCTGGGTATATTCCCAGGAGTGGGATTGCTGGATCATATGGTAATTCTATTTTTAGTTTTCTGAGGAACCTCCATACTGTTCTCCATAGTGGCTGCACCAACTTACATTCCACCAACAGTGTAGGAGGGTTCCCTTTCCTCCACACCCTTTCCAGCATTTGCTATTTGTCGACTTTTTAATGATGGCCATTTTGACTGGTATGAGGTGATACCTCACGGTAGTTTTGATTTGCATCTCTCTAATTAGTGATGTTGAGCATCTTTTCGTGTGCCTACTGGCCATCTGTACATCTTCTCTGGAGAAGTGCCTGTTAAGGTCTTCTGCCCATTTTTCGATTGGATTGCTTGGTTTTTGTTGTTGAGCAGGCGTCAGTGTCTTTGACTTCTCCTCTGCCACCAGCCAGAGAAAGTGTCTTTGACTTCTCCTCTGCTTTAAGAGCATCAGCTGATTAGACTAGGCTCACCCAGATCGTCTACATATTTTAAGGTTATTGAACTGGGATTTAATTACGTCTTCAAATTCTCTTCCCAGTGGTTCCTAGGCTAGTGTTGGATTGAATAGCTGGGGTGGGAAGGGGAGGGTCGTCTTTAGGATTCTGCCAGTCACAATCCCTATATGGAGGACTGTGCAAGTGTGAAAAGAAACATGGCATGATCTCCAAGATATATTATTATCCTGAAAAGAGCAAGGTGTGGAACAATTGTTGTAGTGTCTGACCTTTGTATAAGAAAGAGGGTAAAACAGGAAAGAGACATGCATTTTCTAATATTTTCAAAAAGAAGGAATGGAAGGATAAATAAAAATTTAACATTTTATAGGGGTAGGAAGAGAACAGGAAACAGAGGCAAAGATGAAAGCTCTGCTTCTCTGAATGTACCTGCTTTGTGGTTTACACTTAAGAACCATGCAAATGTTTTATATAATTAAAAGACAAAATTAAATTAAAAATCATAAAATAATTTCTAAAAATTGAAAACGACCCAGTATCAAGTTTGTGCTATAACTCCTCAGAGAAGAAATATTTAAAGTGCTCTTAAGTCACAGTATTTTGACAGGATTGTTATATGCGTTAGGGACAAAAGACAACCCCATTAAGAAACTTTAAACTGCATTCAGTGTTCTTGTTGTCAATGTTAATATCTGTATGGCTGTAGTTTTCTTCCCCAATTTAAAAAATTGTGGTAAAATACACATAGAATTTACTTTCTTAACCATTTTTAAGTGTACGGCTCAATAGTATTAAGTAACGCCCATATGGTAACCTCCGTCACCACCATGCCTCTCCTGAACTCTTTTCATCTTGCAAAAACGTTACACCTGTTAAACACCAACTCTCCTTTCCTTCTCCCCAGCCTCTGGCAATTTCCATCCTACTTTCTGTCTGTATCATTCTGGCTGCTCTGAGTGCCTCGTATAGGTGGAATCATACAGCATTTGTCGTTTTGTGACTGCCTTATTTCATTTAGTGTAATGTCCTCAAGGTTCATCCATGCTGTAGCATATTGCAGAATTCCTTTCTAAGGGTGACTGATGTTCCAGTGTGTGTGCATGTGTGTACCACATTTTGCTTGTCCACCATCCATCAGTGGTCACTTAGGTTGCCTCTGCGTTTTAGCTATTATGAATGATGCTGTTATGAACATGGGTTTACAAATACTGCTTCAAGACCCTGCTTTCAATTCTTTTGAGAAGTGGAATTACCCAGAAGTGGGATTCCTGGATTATATGGTAAGACTCTAATTTTTCTGAGGAACCACCATACCATTTTCCAGAGCAACTGTACCAGTTTACATTCCCATCAACAGTGCACAAGAGTTTCAGTTTCTCTACATCCTCGCCAATGCTTGTTATTGTGAGTCATTTTTTAAAATAGTAGCCATCCTAATGGATGTGAGGTTTTACTGTATATTTTTGCAAGCCACTTCAAATCTCTCCAGGAGCTAGGTAGGACAAAAATGATGCTCAGTTTGCTTAGGATTTTTGTTTTGTTTGGGCTCTTCCCCTGCCTTCATTCTGTCTGCATCCAGCCCTCAAATCCAGCTTCCCCATGCACTTCTTCGTCCTTCACTGACCTCCCTCTCCTCTGAGCTCTCCTGTTAACTTTGCACTTCATGACTGTGTGCTGCTCCTTTGTGTTTCATGTGTAGTTGTCCTGTTGCCCCCAGATGGTCTACTTTTTAGTAGTAGGGACCACGGTTTACTTTTCTGAAACATTTAATATAAAGATTGTATCAAGTAAAATTGTATCAAATGCTCAACTTTCAGCTTATTAACCCAGAGAGCACTGAGCACATCCTCTTCAGAATTGCAGTAAGTATTATTTTTGTTTGTTTGCAGCAGCCGAGGATGCTGAGGCAAGACCGTTCAGTTAGCCTTTCTTGAGCTCCTCCTGTATGTCCTTGTCTGGGCACCTGCCTCAACAACAGCTCCCTTTGAGAACAGTGTGTCCGGGTGGGGCAGGGGGAGGGAGGGCGGGGTCTGGGCTGACTCTGACCCTCGTGTCCCACTCCTTCAGGCGGGTGAAACCGAGTCCCTCTAAAACTGCGTTTATGATTAACCCCTGTGTCCAAAATGTTATTCCTTTTCTTGTCTAACACCTGTTCCCCTGAAGATGCAGGAGAATCAAAGAAGTGGTGGCGGGGGGATTGAAACTGAGCAGGACCGTGTGGGACCCTCCCGGGTATAAAAGCTTTTCCATGTCACCTATTTCTTGTTCGTAGGAAAAAGGCTTTCCGCTTCCTAGACCTTTCCTGAGTTCCAAAGGGCAGATTCAAACAGTTACTTACTAGCGGAGGGGTGCAGAAAGAAACAATAGCGCAAGATGGGGCAGAGTCCTGGTTTCTCCTCAGGGGACCTGCATAACAGCCTCATACATGTCTCTGAGCTATTCTGCAGGAACTAAGGTCCCACCCGGTGGAGGATGGTGACTTCAGGCCGAGCACAAGCACGGAGACCCAGACTGTTTGGAACCAGAGGCTGATGACTGAGATTGCTGGACCACCACCCTGTTACCTCACCACCAACCAATCAGAAGAGGGGTACACACTCCGCAGACCTCCTAGCAAATTGTGCCCATAAAAACTCCTTCCCTGAAACTGTTACCGAACCAAGTTCATGGGCCAGACACACAGTGAGGTCAACAATACTGACACGTCAGACTCTGGAGCAGGGAGAGGTTTATGGCAGGGCCATGCAAGGAGATGGGTGTCTTGTGCCGCAAAAACCGCCAAAGCATTTTTAAAGGCCAGGTGAGGGAGGGGGTGTGGCTGGTTGTTGCACATTTTGTGTAGGAATCCCTTGTTCTTGCAGCTTCTCCACAAAGGTCAGGTCACGATGTTCCTGTAAACCTCCAACTAGACCAACGTTATTCTTTGTTCTGCAACTTTTTATCTCTGTATGAATGGAAAAGTGGTGTCCCCTTAAAGGTCAGAGCCTTGAGCACTGGCTCTCCTGTATATTTCAGGCTGCAGGCAACATTCTTAAATCAAAGTAAAAGCAACAGAATACAAAGGTTAAAGTGGAAGAAACAGACCCACTATGGAGTCAGGCTTGTTCTTCCCTCTTACAGCCCTATACGAAACATTTCTCTGCTCCAGACGTGCCCACGGTTTGGTTTGTTAGGCCTCACGCACATGAGGCAAGCTGGACAACAGGAAGACCAAGGTCTGCTGTGACGCTGACTCCGCTGTCCACTCTTTCACGGGAGGACCTCAGGTCTCAGCCAAACACAACCTGGAGAGTCCATCCCGGGTCCTAACGCTGTGATCCCCGTGTCCCAACCCGGCACGGTCCTGATCTTACGACGGAACATCCAGCGTCCAGGGTGTTGGCAAAGCCGGAGCCCAGGGCCCGCCGACTGCAGGGCAGGCCCCACCCCACCCACGGCACCGCTACCGCGCCCTTCCGCCGGCGCCGAGACTACAAGTCCCAGCATGCAGCGCGGCCCCCTCCAGCTGGCTCTCGCCCCCCCCCCCCCGCCCTTTCCCCCATTCAGGGGGTCTATGAAGGGCCTTTGGAAACTGACGTGTCTAGGAGGGGGGGGGGGGCTGCCAGGGCCCCCGGTCTTTCCCGCCCACGCTCGCGTCCGAGGAGGGCGTGGCGCCCGTAGCCTCTGCGCACTGACGTCGGCGCGCCGACGTGACGTGCTAACGCGGCGCTCTGGGCGCCTCCGCCCTCCCGGGCTCCAGTCCGGCGGCGGGAGGCCTGGGGCGGCGCTTCGGTTTTTCGGAGCCGCCGTGGAGTGAAGGCGCGAGGCCGGTGGGAAGGGCCGGGCCTCGTAGTCTCCTCCCCCGGGTCTGCGGCTCCCCGTCCCAGATGGACAGGGTGTGCGCCGTATTCGGAGGCTCCCGGGGCATCGGCAAGGCGGTGGCCCGCTTGATGGCCCAGAGAGGCTACCGACTGGCCGTCGTCGCCCGGAATCTGCAGGGGGCCAGAGCCGCGGCCGGGGACCTGGGCGGTGGGTACCGACCGGGGGCGCCCCGCCTCCGCGCGGCGAGTATGAACCGCGGCCGGTGCAGGTCCGAGAAGCCGTCGTGGGCGCCCTCCTCCCCGGGCAGCTCAGGCTCACCGTGTGGGGCGCGGGGCGGTCTGGCGAGGGTTCCCGGCGCGCCTGTGTGTTATTGCGCGTCGGTATGTGTGCGCATGCGCAGGCAGTGCCGGCCCAGGACGTTTGCGGCCCTTCCATTCCTGGTTGTACTGGGTCTGCTTTCCTGTGTCCAAGGCACTGACGTCACTACGGTACTTTGGTGACCATCACCAAGGGACAATGAGATTTGTTCCGCCAGTTTCCCTGCTATTGCACTTAAACTCCATTTCCCCCCGCTTATTAGGAATGGATTGTCAGTTTCTCTGCGAATTTTAGTTTCCGGAGGGTAGGGAGACAGGGTGCTGTGAGGGTCCGAGCTGGCAGCTGTTGTTGAGGTAGTAGGCGGGCCGGGAGCAGGGGCACCGGGTTCACCGTCGGGGGTGGGGGGGCACCTTTACAGGAACGTCACCGACGGCTTCACCGAAGTGATTACGTGGGCCGCGGGTACGTTATGGACCAGAGAGCATCTCAGCCCTGCTTCTTAGATTCAAAGGGGCGAGAACGTGGGGGTCCTTCTGGGTCACCCCACGCCATCAGTGTTGGCTGGCCACGATGAAATCTGCTGGTTGGGTTTCAGGGGTTGTGGGTCCAGCATGTGTTCAGGTAAGAGCCGACCGAGATAGAGGCAGATGCTCTGGGGCCTTGCATTTCCTTGAATTACGTGGTCCATGAGTTTTCACCCAGAAAGTATCACTTCCCGGATGACCTACTGTCTTCGAATGTTTAAGGAGATAATTTTAATGTTAATGTATTAGGCAAGGTTAGCCAGAAGATAAACAGTTGTTTAGTGTTTTTAAAAATCTACATTTTAGAGTGTTAAAAAGGTGTATTATTAAATAAAGAATGCTTTCTTTGAAGGATAATTATTTTGGTATTTAAACACTTCAAAAAAAGTGGGTATGTTTAAAAAGCAGGTAAGAGTTGTTTTTGGTAAAAAAAGTTTTAGCATTTTTTTTTTTTTAACAGCTTCCTGCTTTGTCTTATCTTTCCTAATGGTCAGGCTTGAACAATAGTCGTCATAATATATGTGACATAGTTAAACAAGCAGAAAAATCCTAGAGTTTATTTCAGGGCCAGGAAACCAATTCATCAAAAACCTAACCGAATTAGACGTTAAGTTTCAAAAAAAGGAATATAAAACAGAGAAAACTGTTGAATTGCATAGCATGGGGTCAGTGTCAAAGCTATAAATATTGTTAGATGAATCATACAAAGTACTTTGTTTCTTGTTACTCACCTGCCCCCATCCAGTTTATTAGACTGAACTCCACGAAATCAGGAATCGGGAACATAATCATGTTTTATCTCGTGTTCTGGATAGAACAGATCTAGCTCATAGTAGATGCTTGACAAATGTGTATTGAATCATTTTTAAATTCAAGTTATACTTTATTAGTAATTCTGATCTAATTTTGTTGTATAGGAGATCATTTGGCATTGAGCTGTGATGTTGCCAAAGAACATGATGTTCAAAATACATTTGAAGAGATAGAGAAGAACTTAGGTCCAGTTAATTTCTTGGTAAATGCAGCTGGAATTAACAGGTTGGTCACAAAGTTAAGTACATTTCTATATGTCTTTTTTCCTTCTATGTCTCTGAATAATATGAATTAACATATTAATTAACTTGTTTTACTTCTCATTGGAAGAAAAACTATGTATTTTGAAACTTGATCTGTCAATCCACGCACTCTTTTCATTCTTTTATATTGAGATTATAGTAAGGGTACACTTCAGTTTTAACATTGTAATCCCCACCCATATTGAGCTGCAGAACTTTTCCAGAACCCCAGCAGGCTCTCTCAGTTTCTTCCCAATTAGTACTTCCTTATAGGTAACCATGGTCCTGACCTCTGCCACCATATTTGTTTTCTCAGTTGATATTAATGGAATCAGTGGGTATTCTTTTTTTTTTTAATGCATTTAGGACAGAATATTTAGAATAATATAAAAATTTACTTTTAAGCAAGGCGTAGTGTGGCAGTTACTTCATTCAAGCTATTTTGGCCACATGGCCCTACTTTGAGCAGTTAGGGGGATGTGCCCCTCTACCTGAGTGGGGCCAGGGCCTGTCCTCCAAGGGATCCTTTCCGGCTTATCAGTTGTTATTTTAGCGCCTCAAACCAAGTTTAAAATGTGCTCTCTAGGTGTTCTAGCTCAAATATAGAGCACTTCTTGTATTCTGCATTCAGAGAAAATGTTCCATATTTCTTGACTTTTTAATTTGTTTTGTTTTATCCCAATTTTAAATTACATGGTTTTTGTTTTTTTGGTAGGGATAATCTCTTAGTAAGGACAAATGTCGAAGATATGTTATCTCAGCTTCATACTAACCTCTTGGGCTCCATGCTGACCTGTAGAGCTGCCGTGAAGACAATGATTAAACAGCAGACAGGGTCCATTGTGAATGTGGGTGAGTCTGATCTCTGTGGATTTATTACTATCTCATGTACCATAAGAAAGTTATCAAGTAATTTGGAACATATTTACTTGTGAAACTTGGACGGAATGTATCTTTATTATCTGTAGAAAAAGGATTAGATTAACTGATTAATCGGTAGAACGGGAATCACCCATTTACATCCTTCTAGTGGTCAAGCAGATGTTATATGAGTGACACCACCAGGTATTGGGAAAGCGACAGCACAAGCCAGGTGATACATGACAAAAGGTGCCCAGTGGGGAATGGCTCATATCCAGCAGGTGGTTGCTGTGCACAAACATGGTGCAGTTTGGCCCGCTATTTGGATTTTTTAAGAGAAATTGGACATCCTGTTTTTTTTTTAACTTTTAAAAATATTTATTTATTTATTTATTTATTTATTTTTGGCTGTGTTGGGTCTTTGTTGCTGCGCGCAGGCTTTCGTTGTGGTGAGTGGGGGCTACTCTTCGTTGTGGCGCACGGGCTTCTCAGTGCGGTGGCTTCTCTTGTTGTGGCTCACGGGCTCTCGGTGTGTGGGCTTCAGTAGTTGTGGCACACTTGCTCAGTAGTTGTGGGTCACGGGCTCTAGAGTGCAGGCTCAGTAGTTGTGGCGCATGGGCTCAGTAGTTGTGGCTCAGGGGCTCTAGGCACACGGGCTTCAGTAGTTGTGGCGCACAGGCTTAGTTGCTCTGCGGCATGTGGGATCTTCCCAGACCAGGGCTTGAACCCATGTCCCCTGCATTGGAGGCGGATTCTTAACCACTGCGCCACCAGGGAAGTCCAAACATCCTGATTTTTATGTGAAACCGAATTTTCAAACTGGGCAAGAAATTAAAAACTTTTTGATAGTGGGGGCTAAAAAGTGATTTCTACAGTGCTTGCATGGGTCACTGATAAATCTAGTTCAGAGGTCTAAGAGGAGGTTTACTTAAGAGAACAACCTTTTCAGTTTTTTAGGGTGGATGTAAGTAACTCCTAGACTTCACTTCACCTGCCCCACAGGGCAGACAGACTGTAGAATGTGCCTGTAGACCTTAACATGCAAAGTGGCTTGAAGTTGTATTTCAGTCTGACAGTTTGAAAATAGCAGCATGCCATCTGCCTTTTAAGTGGTGATACCGTAGAAGGCCGCAGAAGGGGGATGCTGCTCTGTTAAAGTCAGTGACCCTGTTCTTTCTAATGCAGGAGATGTCTTTCCAAGCCAGAATGTAGGGTTTATATATAGGGTTTAAACCAGAATATAAGGGTTTTTAAAGCCAGAATATAGCGTTTTTCTTTTTTGAAAATGAGAAAAGGAAAGAATACTTTGCTAGTAAGAAGTAGAACATTTTTGACATTTACCCTTATAAATGTGAGAGGTCAGTTTTCTTATAAAAGCTTAGTAAATGAGTTGACCTTTGCCTTCTAACAGAGCCAGGTATGATTTGGGTTCTTGTTAGCTGGTACACTGGCCTGTATGTTTCACCTGATAAAGTGGGGTGTATTTGTTTAACTCTAAAATATCCCCCGTTTAGATATATATAAAAAGCCCATATCAGTACTTTGTTTACATGCAAACTTTTAGACTCATGCTGAAAGTAAATAAAAATAGAGTACTGAAAATAAACTAGGGGACTCTTATCACAGAGGAGACTACTTTAAACTGCGAGAAAGTCCATTGTATTTCAGAAGTTATCACTGACAGGTGAACTGTAGCGTATGGCGTGAAATAAAGCTGCTCCAGCCTCATGCTCGGCCTTTCCTCTTAAGCCTGCATTGTTCTTTCTTTTTTGTGTCTCTCCTTGTTTTTCTTTCTCCCCAAACCCCTTTCTCTCTCCACCTGCGTTTCCTGTGTCTGATGTGTCTTTTCTCTCTTTCTGTGCTTCATATATCTTCCTTTGTCATTAACTGGCATGTGACATCTAATGCGGTTAAATTTTTTTTTTTTTTTTTTTTTTTTTTTTTTTTTTTTTTTTTTT